GACATTTTCACGTGACAAGAGTCGCTTCCCTTCTCATGATTTAAATCTTCAAGCGACCATAAACTTGTAAAGCGGTGGCAACCTTAGTTTAGAATTTTTTTAAAACCTTGACTCGGACAAGAAGTCTTTTCATTCTGCCCAAAAGTAGCAGAAACTTGGGAAACATGCGAAAACGTAGTTTGTAAATGATTTGATGCCGTTGCGTTTTCTGCTCATTACTCCTCCGCCTGTGAAACAGCTTCATCTTCTGTGGCAGCACAATATGCTCCCCAGATTTCATTGATATCGATGCTGGAATTTCTGAAATAACACGGTTACAAACAACTACAGACAGACACAGAATGACAAACCGACATAAATGAGTGACAGAGATATGATTTATGATGTCCAGCGAATTGGCTTTAACATGTGACTACTATGCTAAGGACGGCAAACAGATAAATAATTTTAAATAGCTGAAACATCGTGCTTCAACTTTTAGAGCGCTTACTGCTGATTTGCAGAAAGTTTTTGAAGGGATTGAAGATTGTGGGTTGGAAGCGGTACGGGGCGAATATTTGTAAATTGTTGCAAGTTTATAGATTTTCATATATACAGATTCACGATATATCAAGCTTGTGTGAACATACCTAGTCAAGGATCAATTGTGTCCTTATTGTAAAATTTGAGAATTTTAAGTGAAGGCGTGAGAAGTGAAGAGTGAATCTACCTGACGACATTTTCACGTAGGTGCCTGTTATCCAGGGGACAGTTCATTTGCTTTTGCTGCCACCCAACAGTGCGTTCCAATAAAGCAAACCCAACAGGACCTCCTGGGGAGGGCATTCCTACTCTCAAAGAAGTCCAGCCTCTCCAAAGCGATAAGCGAGCATAAGATTTAACTGCGAGAGAACCAAAGAATACGTTTAAGGTGTTGCATTAATACATCCTTGGTTTCATGTAATAAAGTAACGCCCCTGGACATATCCTCCTTACAGATCCGAATCATTTTGCAATAAAGAGACACTACTCAGTGCTACTACTAATTATAGAGAGAATTAATTGGCTTTCGAATTATCGACGTCGTCATGGTGTATGCAGCATTGAGGAGTAGCATGTTGATCAGCATCTGCTTTTAGGAAGGAGTTAGAAGGAAGGGAGGCTAATAGAGAAATGCATTTAACTTATACGCTGGATCGACTAAATGGCTTAGAGCCTATAGTTTCATACGTCTGATTTGCTTTGCTGCCTCTGAGGGGACTTAATTACATAACAAATGATGGGAGTCGTAACTTGATAATTGGGTTCAACGTGATGTTTTAGTATATGGGCTTTTGACATCCGAGAGATCCATTGCTTAAACCTTCAGACATCTTCAGGTCAAAATGTCCAGAGATGACATGGGAAAGCTTATTGTGCAACTGAGATGGCAAACGCACTCGAAGATTGAGCGATATTACGTCTGTGACAGCCATGGTCACCTGTTTGACATGTCTTTTTATTAACGTCACACTGAACTGTCATCTGGCGCTTGTGCCTAAATACTTTAAAGACAAATGCAAAACAAAGTTTGTTTTTACAGATATTCCTGGTCTATAGCTCTAGTCTCAAAATAAATGCGGGAAACAGCGCTTCGACGGCTGTGGTTTGTTTTGTGAGAAAATTAAGGAAAATAAAGCATATGATATTTCTAGATTTTCCGTTAATGCAGAGTATGTCTTCCAGACAGATTTTTCTTACTAGAAATCGATCTGATTATGCCTATTTATATCCCAGCTTCCTCATTTTTTGCCGCTGCGTGCTTACAAGATTTTTTTTTACACCGAAACAGGCAGCAGCCAAAATACCAGGACACCGCGGCTGCTATGAGGTTAGCAGAACAGGAATGCCTCCTCATGTAAATTGTTTCATAAAGGAGCGATCATATTGGCCAGTTCTGGATGAACGAAGCTGGACACGGTTAGGCTGGGAGGCTGAAGTCATGCGGGTTTGTCTAGTAGGAATATTGCGCTATGGCATCATGGAGGAGAACTCGAAGGGGTAAATAAAGCCCGTTGGCATAGCAGTAGAAAAGAGCTAGGTCGCTAACGGCGGGTTTCGGGACTGCCTGTTAGAGAAGAGTCGTCGATCAGTCGTACAGTCCTCCTTTGAACAATATGGATGGTACTCAGGGCGGCAGCACCCCAAACATGTGAGCAGTACTCGAAGCTAGGTTTTTAATACAACGATGATCACGAAGGAACTATTATGTATTTTCACAGATACTTGTATGTAGAGAAGAAAGGACACCGTATCCGAACGTATTATACAACATATGTATCATTCACAAATCGTAATGATATATTTTTTACTAAAGTAGTAGCACAACTGTGGCACGTCCTGCTTCAGCACATATGACTTCCTGTTCCGTGCTTGCCGAAGATCGTTTGAATACGCGTAAATTCATCTATACATATAAATGTAAATTAGCACCACCCTTAAATACTGTTTACACACATTCACCCTAAATGCCCGACAGTGACTGCCCACCATGCTACTATTGTATCATTCTTATATTCGCAGCAACTGTCGCCAGTTCACCTATAGGGCTCGTTATGAATAGAGCGCACACGTGAGGCTTGACTCAAATTGCCCCGGCAGTACTCTGACCCCCCGAGGCAGTATAACAATGACCGCCGACTTTTCAAACAGACTGCTGGATTAAATCGAATGCGATAAATGCGGAACAAGCTGCGAACATTTATATTTGTGCACATGTGTACATAACGGTAAAAAGGCCCTGTGTGATGGATCAATCCCAATTTACTTAAGGACCTCTACTATATATGTGCTGCAAATAATAAATACATAAATAATAATAGTTAGTTTATATTGACAAAATATGAACTCGCTTATCTAACACCTAATCGTGGATCTCCTATATACAAGTCCCACCAACAAATTTTAAATGTAACGTATTAGCTAACTCATATGACAATACTAATTTATGAAACACAACATATCGCCAAAATCAAAAGGTTTGGCTATAGCATATTCGTTGATTTGGATAACATTCCAAGCTATTCTATATACAAATATAGAGTGTCGCTTGATATCAACAACGCTTCTGGTCCGGACTTGATTCCTGCCATTTTACTGAGGTGCGCAGCGGAGCTTGCTCCAGTTCTTTCGCATCTCTTTCAGATATCTTATGAATCTGGCACCTTCCCAGAAAACTGGAAATTTGCTCATGTCCAACCCATCCCCAAAAAGGATCTAAGACCGACCTTTACAACTACAGGCCTATATCTCTGCTTTCTGTTATAAGTAAGGTGATGGAGAGGTGCATAAATCGCGAGCTTCTGGGCTACCTCTAACGTCACGGCTTGATTAGCAACAGGCAGTATGACCTCCTAGCTTACGTCACGCAATTGTGGAGTAAACTCATCAAGAGTTATGGTCTTATGGTCATGTCGTTGCTCTTGATATCACGAAAGCGGTTGATCAGCTCCACAGCTATGCTGATGACAGCATTCTATATACAGCAATTCAGTTTAAAATAACTGTTTATTTTCAAGCATTTGTCTCCTTATGTTTAGGGGTGGTTTTCTAGCTTCATCTCCCAGAGGCTCAATAGCGATAGATTTCATTTTCAAAACTTTGTTTTTTCAAATGTTCTGAGTGTTTATTTATTGGCAAGACCATATAAAAAGCAGCCATAGTCGATGATAGTACGTTAACTGTCCAAGCATATTCTCGGAATTCCAGCAACACGTCCATTATGCCAGACTTATTTTTTTTAATATTATACCATTATAACATGTTTTCAACTATGTTTTATAGACAAAATCTCATCACTCTCTCCCCTCCATCTTCCATGATCACATATGACTCATGAACGTATAAGTTGGAATAATATATATCTCAAGTCCATCAATCATATGTGATCATAAGTCCGATGATACCCGAGCAAGTGATTTCTTTTAGAAGATGGTTAAAATTTATACAATGCAACTCCTCAAAATGTAGCAAATATGGTGTAAAGTTCTATATATCATGCACCACAAACAGATTTACGTATTCCTTTTGTATTTATTGTGGAGATGATCCTAAAATTCCCATGTTAGATGAGCCTGGATCTGTGGTAGTAAATTCAGCTGAAGGCTTATTGAATGAAGGACGGCTGATCATAACTGATAATTTTTACACCGGTATTCCTTTAGCTGAAGATTTGCTAGATCGTTCCACAGATCTTTGTGGGATTCTACCGAAAAATCGAAAGGGCGTTCCAAAAAAAGTTGTTAAGACCGATTTAAAATCGGTTGACAACGATACAACATCATAATTTTGAAGTGGGAAGATAAGCGTGATGATTGCATGTTGTCAACTTGCCAAGGGAAGGATACTGCAGATACAGGGAGAAAAAGCAAAGAGGCTGCTGTAACCAAACCGAAAGCCATTTTAGATTACAACTCAGGAAAGCAGGAAATTGATGTATCGGATCAACTAAGGCCCGTATCGTCAGTCGTCCCTACAATTGTAGGGCGTGTTTGTGGCCTCCTTCATTGTCATACCCCTTCCTCTCCTTCAAAAATTTCTAGATGACACTTGTCCCGTGTCAGCGTCAGCGCTCTCCAATTGTGAAGATATATTTTCTTTTTAAATTGTAGGAAATTTCAGGCTGATAAAACATGATATAACTCAAAAGCAAGCACAATTTGATGCAAATAGATGTAGAAAACTATGACAATCAAGGAGGCCACAAAGGCGCCCTACAATTGTAGGAACGACTGACGATACGGGCCTTAGTAGCTGCTATTCACCAGTTCGTAACTTCGTGATTTGGTGCAAAAAGGTGGCAATTGAGTTAATATTTGGCACCGTTGAGATTAATCCATTTATGCCTGAATTATAATCTTTCAAGAATTTCGATTTAAGGGCTGTTTAGTGAAGTAAAAATAGTCTCTGATGTGATATTCAGTCATTTTATTTGAGAATCTACACGAAAAAATACATTTTTTGGCTGTTAGTTTAATCGAACGTTAGGCATATATACGTAAAAATGAGTTAATTTTCAAGAAAATGTTAACACGCATACTTCTTTTTCTTAATTCTTGGTATGATAAGGAACAAAACAGTCCATATGTAATGCATCGTCGCATTTGTAGCACTTTTTTTGCACCGGCTTGTGACACACGCGACAACGAGTTGGCTTGTCCTGCCGCACTAAGTTCATTAGTGTTCATGAAACGGGATTCTGCATTTTCCAGACATGATGGTCTTCCACGTTTTCTGGACATCCTGTTAGTTTCCAATAGGGTCATGGCAATCTGTCTGCGGAATGTCAGTTGATCCATTGACCCTCCTTGCAGCCTATGTAAATGCCAGGAATTTTTAATAGACAAATCCAAAAGGTAAAATATTAGACAGGAATACCATTTTTTTCCTCGGATACTCGTACGATAATAACTAATATTCTCGTCACATCTGTCTACACCTCCCATAAATGCGTTGTATGCTTTTATGCACTGAGGTTGATCAACTGTAATCTTTTTTCTTTTCTGAAGCCTTGACACATGATGAATAGGATGTACTTGTAAATTGTTCGTGGCCACATTTACGATATTATTGTCATTCCACTTGACGATTAGTACTTTATTCTCGGTTGACCCGTAGTCATATGTACCTCTCGTAGTTTTTTTCATGTCAGTTTTTGACTGGACTGTGCATTTCGACATTCTGTTCTCCCGCACCGTCCCCGTACCTCTAATGTTATGCCGGAAAAGTTCCTCCAAAAGTGGCACAGTAGTAAAGAAATTATCGAAAAAAATGTGATACGGGAGAGATAGCATTTGGCGCAATACGGTACTGTAATGCAGCACAACGGATGGCCCTAAGCCAAACAATTTGTACATCGTGGGAATTTGAGTGTTTGATCCCTGATAGGGTTCCAACCACACACAATAGCCAGCGCAGTCTGAAGACGATATTGCACCCATCCATATTTTGAATCCATAACGGATTGGCTTCCCTTTGATGAACTGCTTACAGCCGTGCCTCCCGAAGTAAGGTACCATGGACTCATCAACTGAGTGTGCACCTCGTACGGGGCAAAAAAGTTGAAAATTTCTATTTATTGCTTCAAAAAGTGGCCGAACTTTCGCAAATCTATCTTGTTGAGATAGCTTGGAATTGTCACAATAATGCAAATTTGACATAATAAATTCGAATCTATCTCTTGACATGGCTGAAGAAACAACTTCATTATGGGTGTCTTTGCTATTCTCCCAGAACATACGACGGCGTGGAAGCTGGACATAACCACTCAAAATCAAGATGCCGAAGAACGCTTTCATTTCCGCTTCAGTGATAGTACTGTTGAAGACGTTCTTTTTTGAAGCGTACAAATTGCTATATTTTACAAACATATCGATGACGTTGTTGTCAAAAAACTGAAAAAATAGTTCTGTAGGTGAGAAGTTTGTTTTCACATCGATGTACGTTGGCCATTCAAAAGATCGAGGTTCTAAATCTCTCTTTTCCCATAAGTAATTCTTTTTTATGGCTACTTGCAAGCTACGTAGCGGTAAATCATCCTCATCTATTTCATTTCCTATTTCTTCCTCCTTATCTTCTTGAGTAATGCCGAATAATTCAGCTTCTGCCATAAGTTGTGTGCCTGGCAGGTTACCAATGGTCATCAAATCCTCGTCGCCCGAATCTTCATCTGTCAAATCCTGACACGCATTTGTAGGGGGCTGTAAAATAATGTCTATCTCTTGGCTGTTAGGAAGTGTCTCATCATCGTCGTCATCCAGCGTATTCAAAATATCATCCAACGTCAAGCCACTAAAATACAAAATATACCCTTGTGTACCTGTTGTTCGTTTTATCGAACACGCAAATTTACCCCTGCCTGGACAAAACACGTGTTGCTGTACGCCTGCTGTAAAGCAGCAAAAAGCATGTATATATCTTAGAGAATACGTATCTGTCAGCAAAAATCTGAATGATCATTAAAAGTTTGCAAAACTTACCGACAAAGTGTTAAAGATCGAGCATAATCTCTATCTATGTGCGCCATTGCGTTAAACTGTATCGTTTTTGCTACAAAATAACTACAACTAACCTAACAACACCTGTTTATATTTGAATGTGCTTTGAACTTCCAAGCGTTAAAGCGACATCTGTGATTAAGAAGCGCAAGGCTCGAATATACGCTCATTTACAGTTACCTGCTCTCTGTTCGATTTTCCGGACAATAGGCATATATGGGTTAATAGTTGGTTATTATACATCGAAATATCTACGAAAAAAAAGGCTCTATTGCTTTTTACAGAAGAAATCATTGGAGAAATAAAACAATAACCCACATTGAACCATCCACTTCTGTTGAAATGTCAAAAATACCAATAAGGGGCAACGGTAAAATTATAAGAAAAAGATGCCATGAATGCTACAGAAAAAACCAACGCGAACATGGAACCCAGTAGATTCTTATTATACCATATGTATATCTTGTTTTTCTGCTGGAACGCACAAAAATCAAAACCGGAACACTAACCATTTTTATGTTGTATTTTCAGAATTATGCTCCTACGTTTTTTAAAACCTTTAATAAAGTCGTTTTTAATAAACAAAAGACTTTTTTGGAATCATATTCACGAACATAAGAAATACGTCTTCGAGTCATATATGATGCATCCTGGAAAGAAAATAAAGTTCAATATCTTCTTAATACGTCCATGCTATAATCAGCTGCTTAACTCTTTCGCGTACAGGAATTACATAAAAAATAAAACCCTATAGGTACCATAAATTTTTTTATTCAAATTTTGAAAAATAATTACATGTTTGGAATAGGGGCACTATATTTAACATAAAATTTACTGAAAAGCAAGCAAAATTTTGTTCAGAAAAAAAATAGGGAGAGGTTAATTTTTCCACCACTATACATATAACGAAGTACATAAATGGTTGCGCCGTGGATTAAGAAAAAATAAGAACTGGCAAGAGCTACAAAAAGCACATCTCCTACGGCTGGTTCTCATCAGTTGATGTGAGCTTTCTGTTACTGCTACAGCTTCTGGTACTAAAGGCTTATGTTTTTTCAGCGTTGTGGTAAGTTCCGTGGGTTGTGTTACTTTTTGCACAAGTCATTTGGCAACCCGATGTTGAGAAATTTGCCTCCGAAAATCTTCGTGACTTTGAAGTTGAGTCATTAATTTTCAGATAATGATTGTAGAAGGAAGATAAACCAAAATATGTGTGTAAAAATAAAAAAAAATGAAAAAAAATGTTACCTTGTGTTATAAAGTATCCTCCCGACAAGTGTTTCAGTGCGGATCTGTATTTGATCGTGCGGTCTTAGAGCACCGGCATGCCCTCCCCTGTGAGCTCTTAAGTCACCTGATTCACGAGCCCTTTGTACTACATTAACAAAGGCACGAGGGGCGGCAGTATTTTGTAAAGACTACCTCCCCCCCTCCCCCCGTAAATAAGAATCATGTCCACAAGTTCAGCACTTTCGTGAACATGTGCCATTTTTTATTTCGTTTGAGCCACGCAACAAACACCACTATTCACTCACGCGTTACCGACTGACACATTGACTGAATACAACTAAATAAGATTGTAGTAAAAACATCGTGATAAGCGTTTCAAATTCTTTCGCTTTTTTGTTTCCGATGCGATGAACCGATAAGGCGGATTATATTCGTTGTTGCCAAACACGAGCACATAATATTATTGAGACACGGCGGTACTCAAACTTCTAAAGGGCTATAACTTTGTTACTTTAATTTTACCAGAAAAATGTTAAAGGAAAAAGACATTTCTTTTGGTCAGATCTACTCACTGTTAAAATAAATGACTCAACTTCGAAGTAATAAAAGCATTCACCACAGATGCAAGTATTAAGTGTGTCACGATCTTGAAAGAAACGAGGTAGGCCAAAACTACTTGCAAAATCTTCAGGCAGATTCATATTAGTTGTAAGATTACCCCATAAAACTGATCTTTGATTTTTACATTTTTGAGCCAATGTCGCTAATGGAACCATATCATCAGCGTCCCATTCATCAGGCGATTCGTTATCCGAACCAGAAACTATTATTTCATCACTATAGTTATTTTCTAACATGTCTACAAGCATATCTTCTTGCAAACCTCCCAGCTCTTCTTTAGCGTCACTGTCATTATCAGAACTACCGTCCGAAGGAATTGAAGCAAAATCATAATCTATATTAGCAAGTTCGTCATAATGTTCATCCGCCGTCATACCAACTAATTTGAAGGTAAGAGGTTTTTGGCAATTCATTCTACTAATGGTACGGTGGTACAATTTATGAACACTAGAAATTAAACCAAATAATGTATAAAAGGCGTTTATATTTAAAAAACTATAATGTCCCATCTTAAATAGTTCCTGCTGAATACATCTCAGATTCTAACCACAATGGCAAATATGAAAACTAATCGTGTAAGCAGATTCTTTATGTTCCAATCAGACGTCTCCAGTCGCGGTACGGGATTTAAACCGGTGACCCTATTCAATGAATAATTTTGTTTTGGTGGTATATACTTTGACCCACAGTACCTTGAAGGTCTAGAAAAAAGTGGTTTATTATGTAGTTCACCGTACTTGAAAGAGTTCAATATCCCGTCCAATTTTTAACATATCGTAAGGCAAAGCAAGTACAATGCACATATGATTCAAGGGCGTGTAGACAAACATGTCTAATAAATCACATATGATTCATGGACAGTTAACGTTATAGACCTTAAGTAAGACTTGTAGAACGTTAGAGCAGTAACGGAATCTGCTCCCCACCAGGCTGTTTGTCACGGCTTTTAAGAAATTTAGACCTTTGATAGGGATTTCCTCGATGTGCGATTTGAAAGTGAACTTTTTATCAAGTACCATAGATACGTAAATTTAATTTTCTGTTCGACAGGGAAATAAATATGTCCAAGGGTTACCGTCGGTATATGATGAGAAAATATAACAATCTTGGATTTTTGTGGCGATTGACCAACAGTTTTCAGAGCTCGGCAGATCTGCCGTCCGAAAAAGGTCATCCGGATCGATCTGATGGAGATTGCGGCTTTGCATTTGGTCCCTGGGTGGAAACCCAAGGAGCAACCTTATCGTCGATAGATTTTACCAAGGCTGAATGTAGGTATAATTTTTTAACAACCGAGACATATCAGGAACCTCTGCGTGATATATCCCATGTGAATTACGACAGACCCTAGGCGTGCCCAGGAATCGATGATAGTGCAGTTTTCAGCTCTTCTAGGACTATGCCCGAGCCAATGCGAAAATCTCTAAATTTGATAAAATTGAATAAAACTTCTTACAACAGGGATATACCATTAGCTGCCATCCCACAGCTTGTCAAGAGCTTCGTCCACGTCCATTCCTGAAGCCCGAGGTCGGCGGAATGTGTTGAAGCATTTCTTGGAATTGATTAACCTCACAGTACTTTAACTTAATATTAACACCAAAACGAATATTGGTCCTTTTTGTCATGCTTCTTCCGTTTAGATTTTATATTTCGCAATTCGATTGGGCATTGAGCTCCAGAATCTGCAGGGTGACGTAAAGTTTGGCAAACGGATCTGCAACATCGGGGTATCGGTGAGGGGAAAGCAAAACATGGCTGGTTTCATTCATAAAATGCCAGCGGCGTGCGGTATTTTATAAAAGTTTGGGATTATTTCATAATTGGTTTAAATTTAGTAAACTATACGTTTATGTTTCACTTTAAATTTGGGGAGTATCTCAATAAGCCCACAATGATATGGAGCATTGTCCATAATAATAAATAAAGTCTCGGGTAAACTCAAAAATAGCTGTTCTCTACAATCTACACCATGTAAAAAACACTTGAGTTTGTTTCTACACTTCAACAAACGGAAAAATGTCTACTCACTTCCCAAAATTGCCACAATTCAAAAAATCATGATAACTGCGCGATTTAAAACCTAAATCAAGCTAGCGTTTTTGTCAAAGCCGTAAATAAAATATATTGTTCAAATACAAATAGATACTTAACGTGGTTTTTTACCTTGAGAATATATCTTATCTTATCTTATAATATGCTCATTTACTTTAAAAAGTGCCGCAAGCCGAATCATGACCAGAATTAATTTTTATTTTATAATCCGCATCTTTCTGGATTCCTATTGTTGCAATTTTGGACTGTTGATGTGGATATTTCTAGAGCATCGGTGTCGCTTAAATAGAAACAAAGAACTTTAAACACATTTCATATCCGTTTAACTTATAACCTCTGTAATAAATAATACTTACATTATACAGCATTTCAAAATTACATTTCACCTATTGAATTAGCATTGGTGTTCGTCAACTTCATCATTATCATCATCGTCACTGTCGTCATCAGTTTCGCTGTCGTCATCT